TTTAGAAGGATATGAATGAAAGTTTAACAAGAATATTAATGTTATATACCTAACCTTGAACAGATAATTACACAGCCGTACAAAAAAAGTTATGTGCCAAAGAAATGATTGATGCTGAAAATCGGATTTACCAGGATAGTTGTTAGTAAAACGCTAAAACATCCCCAAAATAGGGTGAAATAGGGAGGATAAGGTAAAGCTGTATAATGAAATGCAACAATTTGTAAATAATGTACTTTGAGAAAACGCAATAATATTTTGAGCATTTGAAAGAAATATACAAGATGTTAACGAAATTGTAAAACATATCGAAATATGATGAAAACCTTAGTAGAGTTTTGACACTGGTGGTCCCTAAGGGAGATGCAGTCCGTTGAAGGGGTAACTCAGGAAACAGTTTTTATTTCATATCTTCAAAACGGTTTAATATTAAATCATGAAATTTTAGGGTTGTATTACTATTTATATGCTTAATAATCGGTATAATGTACGAATCAAAATTTGCTACAGGGGCCTAAGAAAATGCGGGATCACAGGGCAAATATTTTTTCGCAACTTTTTCTACTTCCTGAACCGCGCCATTATTCCATGGCTAGAAATTGGCCTCAATGATTTGGGATCGAGGGGGATTATCCCTCTTTATCCTGCTTCATCTCGTGTAGGCCTGGACAGCCTTCGTAGGTGGGCTCCATCCGTCGTCTACCCCGACCGCAAATGCGGCCGGTGTAGGCGCTTTGTGGGACCTCCTTTTGTCCTGGCTGGGCCCCGCCGGCTAGGGCCCTTTCTTCTGGCGCTCTTCTTGCTTCTGTGTAAACCCCGGGGACTTCCTGAACCGAAAATATGAAAATTTATCATGTTTTGCATAAAAAAGGTACTCTTGTTAGATTTTAATAGCATGAGCCGTTTTCTAGTAAAATCCATTTCAATAATTCATTACTTGCTCAAAAATTCCTACTGCAAAATAGATGTGTCAAATTATGCCATGAGAATGTTACTATTTTTATTTAATTTTCCTTTTGTACTTTTATTATCGTTATTATAGTTGTTATGTAACTGTTACTAAATCAGGGTTTAATATCACAGTTAAGTAGACAGTTTTGTAGTAAACAGTAACACAAATATTTTGAATAATAAAATGTTATTACTATTATTATTTTTATTTGAAAATAAAAAAATACCAAAAAAACACCCATGAAACATAAAATTTTTATTGTAAATGTAGTTTCACCGTTGAATAATTTAGTTTATTCTATGTTTATTCCAGTATTATTCCTAAATTCAAATCTCTTAGATTGGGAGATTGAGTAGGTAATCTAATCAGTAATTGACATATACTTGACACCTCTGATAAGTGTCATAAATCATAAATAGTAACTTTCTCATGACACAACTTGATAATTTATTTTCAGCAGGAATTTTTGAGCACGTAATGAATTATTGAAATGGATTTTACTAGAAAATGACTCATGCTATTAAAATCTAACAAGAGTACCTTTTTTATGCAAAATATGATAAATCTTCATAATTTCGGTTCAGGAAGTAAAAAAAAAATTGCGTACAAAAAAAATTTAAAATTTGCCCCATAGTCGCGCATTTTCTTATGCCCCTGTAGCAAATTTTGCTTTATATCTTATGCCGATGATTAAGCATATAAATAGTAATACCACCCTAAAATTTCGCGATTTAATATTAAACCATTTTGAAGTTATACAATAAAAACTGTTTCCTGAGTTACCCCTTCAAGAGGCTGTAATCGCTATATCGCCCTTAGGGGCCGCCATTGACAAAAACTCTACTAAGGTTTTCATCATATTTCAACATGTTTGACATGCTCTTCTATTTAAGTACTTATTTCGTTAACACCTTGTATGTAAATTTTACAGACTGATTCAAAATTCAGTACAAAAAATTTAGGGGCGTATTTTTGAGGTCAATTTAAGACTTTTTTTCTTATAAACATGGGTCCACAAATGCTTAATTTTCGATATACAGGATGTTAAAGTGTTTTATTTTTTTCGTTTTTTAGGAATAATTTCCCAAACAGATTTTAATATTGGCATACAACTTGGAATAAAGGAGTTTTTTAGGATGCTAAATTTAAATATGTCATTGCTTTTGACGCTGCTTGTAGAGGGCGCCACCTATAAGGGCACGCTTGAATTAAATTGGCCCTCACTTATTTGATAGCCTGTACATTGACATTTCGTATCAGTGCGTTTGTTTCCCTATCAATTTTCAGCAAAAAAGGTATACTTGATCGAAATCTCTCAGACCAACCTACTGATGGAGAGTTAAATAAGATCAAATTACGAATGTTAATGCAAAACAATGTAAAAAAACCATAGCCTTGTATCCGAAAATTCCTTTATAACAGATGGCGGATCCAATATGGTGGATGGAAAAATCGGCCAAGCATTCAGAATTTGAAGATTATGGCTGAAACTTGTTACTTGGCGGTTTTCAACGCCGCTAATCATAAATATAAGATTTTAATTAGGATATTCTTAAATCCAAATTGGCGGGCCCATTATGGCAGATTGCGGTAAGTACCATAGAAATTGGCATTTACCACCTAAAGAAAAGTGTCATGAATGTTTAAGAAATTGAGTCATTTGAGTAAAAATATCTAAAAATGAGAGACGAAGAATATAATTTCGATTTGCATCGTGCTGGTTTCTTTCAAATACTCTTACCAATCTCAGCAGGGAGTAATAAAAAATTGGCTCAATTTCTATGATACTTTTCAATTCGCCATAATGGGGCCGCAATTTTGTACTTAGGAATTTCCTAATTAAAATCCACCAAGTACCTAAGAAGTTTCAGACTTGTCTTCAATTTTTTAGTACTTCTCCGAGTTTTACATCCGCCATCATTTACTCAGGCATTTTCTGATTATAAACTTCAGATTCAGCTTCTTTGACATTTCTGCCAACCTCGTAACCAACATAAAAATGGGCGTCAAATTNCGATTTGCATCGTGCTGGTTTCTTTCAAATACTCTTACCAATCTCAGCAGGGAGTAATAAAAAATTGGCCCAATTTCTATGACAATTTTGGATTTAGGAATTTCCAAATTAAAATCCACCAAGTACCTACCTAACAAGTTTCAGACTTGTCTTCAATTTTTTAGTGCTTCTCCGATTTTTACATCCGCCATCATTTACTCACGAATTTTCTAATTATAAACTTCAGATTCAGCTTCTTTAATGACATTTCTGCCAACCTCGTAACCAACATAAAAATGGGCGTCAAATTCGAATATACAGATACAATAAAATGCCTACACTCAAAATATTATTTTAAAATGTTTTCTGGAAGTATTTACAAATTGTTGCATTTCATTACAAATCTTTTCCTCATCCTAACTGTTTTGAGGATGTTTTAGTGTTTTACTAAAAAATGACAGGTAAATCGATTTCTGGGCTGCGGATTCGGATTCAGCATGAAAAAATATACAAAATCTATACACTCATATCTCTGGCACATAACCTTTTTTGTGTGGCTGTGTTATTTAAAATCCAAAAATAGCAATATTATAATGTTATATGTTTATTATTATTGATGTTATGTTAGCACCTCATTCCATGTAATTTATGTATAAGATGTCCAATAAAGAACCGCTTAATACATAATCTGTTTTGGATCGTACATCCACATGCTGTAACAAATAATATAGGTACATATTATATGTCCCTTATTAGGACATACATAGGGAATTATGTACATCCGCCTTAAGGTACGGTTATAGTGGAGAGACTAGCCTTCAGAATTGGCTACGCTTACACATCGTCATACCCCTATGGACATGCAGATGCTAACCCATGTGTTTTAAATCCCATAACGGCTACTCATACCTCCAGTCTCTATCTACATCTGAAGCATCAACTCTCCACTATGGTCGTACCCTTAAATGCCGTCTTTTAGTGGGGAAACGCGACAAATATGGAATACTGTTTATTTGAAATTAAAAAACTATGAAATGGGAGTATTTTTTGTAAATAAAATAAAATATATTTAAAAAAAAAACTTATAAAAACGAATCTCGTAAAAGTAGCAATGAAATTATTTTCTTTTACCGATTTTACAAAGGGATCACAAATATGGAGTATTAAATCATTTTTATGTAAAATAAGCCTCAAGTCTCGCTACAAAAGTCACATATAAAGACTCCAGATTCACATTCAGTATAGCCCAAGTAATACCATGATTCACAGGATTAATATTTTATACACTGTTTGCTTTCTAAAAACTTTCCGTTGCAAAATAGGCATTCGATCTACTCTGCACCATTCGGCATCTCTTCAGGTACTCTGCACCATTCGGCATCTCTTCAGGATCTTCCTTCATTAAAATATCATAAAAAACCTTTGAATTGATGATCTCATTATTACACCCATTACACCATAACCCCGTAGTTTCTCAACCGTGCAATCCCATGGGGAAATATGGATTTTGTACATAAGTTAGGCTGTGGTTGGAGGGTTCGAGGGTTTTATTTCAAATGTTCGTTCAACACCATTGAGTCTGCTAGCGCTAACCGATTTATTTCGGCATTTAAGTCCCGATTAGAAAGATAGGCGAATTTTGAACTGGACATCCATTTGTTCTAGTAATGCATGGTGGTGGTAAAATGGTGTTAGCAAAATAATGTTTATTATGCTTGGCATACCTAATTTAACACTAATAGTAAAAATGTCTATTATAATACAGATTATTATTAGCTAAACTTTCTTATTAGTCGATTTCCCTCAGTGTAGTATTCAACAACAAAACAGTATACACACTTTTTATGCAAACACCGTGTTTCAAGTCCTTGGAAAGATCGTAAATCCTTTAGGACACATTTTACCAAAAAATGTTACTTTTTCTGTGTCCCGAAAATTTGCCCAAAGTCTCTTGACGTCCTGTATGTACTGTGTAGTTTTCAGTATTTCTTATCTACGGATATGCCAACTACGTCACTATCTGCAATCTTGTTATTTACAGGTTGTGGTGGTGAACATGGTATTATATATAAATATCTTTTTAAATACATTAAAAATTAGGTGTAGCATTTATGTAGTTCCTTTTAATAAATAGATGGCGAACAATTTTGCAGTTTTTACCAAGGGGTAAGTTTAAGCCAAATATAAAGTAGGCTATTATGTATACGATAAGTCATAGGTACTTGATTTCTTATCTAATATTGCATTCATTATTTCTACATATAGAGTGCAATATTTCATATTCTTATGTGTCAAAGTGCAGCATTTACCATTTGAATATCGTAAGAAAACAAAATGAAAAAGGTAAACTTAAATATTTTCCATTTAGATATTGTCTGAATTTTTTTTTCTTCATTTATTGGGTATTTTATCATCTGTATACAATCACTTTTATGAAAAGAGTTTTGCTTACAAGCTCATACTGAAAAAAGTGGACAAATACAAAAAACACGTCACCATACAATCGCCTACTTCGAAAAGTTGTTGACTTTTCTAAAATCTGTTTTCGTCTTCAGAACATATAACTTCGTTTTTAATTTTTGTCAGTTTTTTGTTTGTTTTTGCCTGATTCCGTAATTAGACCCAGTTTTTCAATGGTATGCCAATTTAACTCACACTTTCATTTAACTGATATTTTTGAAAAACAACTACCTACTTGAAGGTTACATGACATGTCCCGATCAGCATTGTATCTATTAAATTACTTATATAATTCATAATTATCTAAAATAGAAGTTGCAAGCGACATATCAAACTATTATTAATTGAAAAAAATAGACAACTGATCATTAATCACTGAATAATGTAAGTGTTTTAAGTTGCATTTTATCCACGCAAGAATGCAGTTCGAGCGTTTTATATTCTTCAGTGAATAAAAGGTAATTAAAACAAGAATGCAATGCAATACAACGTTCTGTCCATAATTACATCACAATCACATTTGTGGAGTCAGAATTATTGGAATTTAATAAATTTCTTACTAGTATAGTCACTGCTAGTACTCAATGAAACGTGATAGATTTTGTTATACGTACTGGTTACTAAGGTACGTCGTTTATTATAAATTATGTAATAAACACTTCTATTTGAATTTGATAAAAATGCAAGATAGTAATTGTGTTCCTGTGGCTGTTTTTGAAGAAGCTGAGGAAGTAATTTTCCATTTATTGCCGGACAAATCCAGGAAACATTACGAAAAAGTGTTCGACGATTTTATCTAATGTAGGGAAAAACGGAGAGTAATGACAATAAATGAAGAAGTCGTGCTATCGTATTTTTTAAATTTAAAGAAAAAACATGCAATTTCATCTATGTGATCGAAGTATTCGATATTGAAGGCTACAATAAAGGTCTACAAAAATATAGATATTGGAAAATATAACAAGCTTACTACTTATTGGAAGAGTGAATCGAGAGGATACAAAGCAAAAAAAAAGCTGCAGTATTGCACATATTGGAGAATTTTTGATTCAGGCTTCCGATAAAGAATATAATAATTAAGGTAATATCTCTGTACCTTACATGTTAGGTATATAGTGAACTTTGAATTATTTTCGGTTGCACTAATAATGGGCGTTGCTGGTGTCTGTCGATGTTGTGAATAGACAAATTAAAAAATTAGTAACGTACAGGACGTTGGCAGTTAACCTACTTGTTTCAATACTTGACACCTAAACAGACATTTTAAGAAAATTTGCAATAATTATAGAAGAATGATTTTGCGTGAATGCTGTTGAAATACGCAAAAAATATATTTCTCTCCGCCCAATTCGCCTAACACACAGACAGATTCTTTATAAGATGCGTCAATCAAATATGTACTTTTCAGCCTGTTGGAATCAACACATTGGCAATGATACCCTCAATAGTTAGTTGCTTCATTACTGACGCAAATCCAGAAGCATATATTGGCCATTGCGTGAGGTGTACTTCAACAACTTTATTGGCCAATAAAGGTGCTGATCTTACAACCATCAAACGGCATGGTGGACGGAAGAGCTCCTCTGTATCAGAAAGTTATGTCGAGGAGTCTATATCTAACAAAGTTGATATTGCAAGGAAAATCAAAGGAAAATACTTATAGCTGTTCCTTACAAGAAGAGACATCCGTAACTTATGTTAATTCTTCATAAACTTCGGCAGATGTTATGCGTTCCGAAAACGATGGCAACAATGTTACAAGGATTGTTACTAACGGAAATGTTAAGCTAAATGTAATAAAATTTGTTTTATGTCTAACTAAATGTCAATTTTTTAATGTTAATAACTAAACAAATTTAATTTGATTTAAATAAAGTTACTTTATTCCACTAGTGGGTAAAGTATCACTTTTGACGGTTCATATATGTGTGGATAAAAGTCCAATTATAAGATGATTGTGTATAAATATCTTTTATTCTCAAGCCACGATACATAGTTCCCGGCTATTTCTGCATTTTGAGGAATGCAAGCGGACTTCTTGTAAATAGAATTAATAAATATTAATGAAAAAAAATTATATTAAAAAAATAACAAAATTTTTAGAAGAAAGAAATCAAAAAAAAATACTTATCCTGATTATGTATTTGTAAACCCAAATATTTATAGCATCAGCTTAAGTTGTACTATATGGCAATCACTGTATCTAAAAAGTTGTTGTATTAAGTTGTAAAGCTTTAAAATTTATTTTTATAATGAAAAAAAATAATAAAAATTTGGAGATGCCGGGGATCGAACCCGGGGCCTTTCACATGCAAAGCGAACGCTCTACCACTGAGCTACATCCCCAAGTTGACAAAGTTATTTCTATATTAAAATACATCATAATTCCGATTTTTAGATAAAAAAACCAATCGATTCGTATTTTAGTGAGTTGAGATGTCAATATATTTTTTAAAAGGGCCTAATAAAAACGCCTTCCTAGATTTCTCAAATCTATGAAACAAGTTCTATATTAAAACAAACGGTTATTCCAATTTTTTTTATGTAAAATATTAAGATTCCTATTTTTGTGAGCTGAAATATTAATATTTTTTAATAAGGGTGTGTAAAACCGCCCTCGTAGACTTTGTGGGTCTATATAATTCTATGTTAAAATTCAGTAATTCCGATTTATATTTATTTATTTATTTCAAAATACATATCCAACAGGTAATGCCCAATAATAGGATATGTTAAGTCAACTATTAATATATAAAAAGAGATAAGGAATTAAATATGAAACAGAGCAAATAAAAAATACAAACCTACAAATAAAACAAATATAAAGAACAAGACAAAAAGTTAACAAACAATATGTGAGACCTGACTACTTAAGTCAAGCATTTTTTATATCATTATCTGAACAGCAAAAAAGGTCGATATTATTTTCTATCCGACTGTACCTACTTGGAAATAAATCTGATACAATAACGGCGATGCTACAAGGATGTTACTGAGAGTTGTGGGTAAACTTTTTAAGTAGGAAATTAATCAGTTCGTATTTTCCTGAGTTGATATGTTATCATGTTTTAATAGGGTTAAAATAACCCTCCTAGACCTTGTGAGTCTATGAAACTATAAAAAAATAGTTCTATGTTGAAATAGACGGCATTCCCAATTTTTTATAAAAAAATAATGTACTGCCTACGTATTTCTGTGAACCGTTATATTAATTTCTTTAATTAGGGGTAACTTACGTAAAACTGACTTCGAGGAGTGTTGGAGTTATATTTAAAACAAAAATATTATTAGTTACCTATTCTCTGTAAAAGATATTAGCTGTATAAAATTTTAGGAAACAGAAATCTGCTTACTTAATTTCAAATTGCCAAATTGCCATAAGCCCGTCCGGTTATTTCCAGAAAAATTAGTCGATAATATTTGTCGCCAATTTCACACTGGTAGACATGTTTTGCCAGTTGCCAATTTTTCTCGGAAACGGTACAATTTATCGAATAAGAGCTTTTGTGCCTTTTGAAATTATCCTTTCATTGAAAATATCTTTCTAATTACTTCTAATACAGGGTCGCTGAAATGTATGGAAACGATCGATTAAGTTGCTATTTCTTTAATGGAACAGCTTGTATAGGTATTATTCCGTACTTCAATTCTTCTCGAAATTCTAAACAAAATTCATTATAGCACATGTACTCTTAATTTAATCGTTTTCGAGAAATCGAACTTTGAAAATTGTTTTCTTATAAATTATACAAAAATATTTTAGTCCATTAAGTTTATCGTCCATCAAGTTACCTTTGAAAAGTTTCTAGGTCCATAACAAAGCTGCGTCGTTCTTTTGTATAATGGTGATTATCTTGATAGAACACGTCAAAAATACATTTAGTGTGAATAATTTTCTCGCAAAAATGGCACGTTTAAGTGAATCTAAGCGTGTTGATGTTTTAATCATAATAGGATATGGTGATAGAAGACGAAGTTGTGAAGAAGTAGTGGATATTTTTCATGAATATCATTGCAGCGTTTTCATGAAACTAAAGGTGCTACAAATAGACATAAAAGTGAAAGGACCAGTAAGCGTTACAAATGAAGAAAATTCTTTGAATGTCATGTTAGATGTGTAGGAAAATCCAATAAATTCGACGCAACAGAGAATCATAACATGAGTCGATATTCCATTAAAAAAATTCGCAAACGGGAAAAATTACATCCATATAAAATTTATTTCTTACTAAAATTGAGTGAAGACGAAAAGAAAGACAATGTTTGGTGTGGCATTATTGGTGAATACGTCATACGTCATAGGATCCTATTTTATAAACAGTTTGACCTCTGAACGATATTTATTACTTTGGCAAGAATATATTATTCCAGAGCTTAGACCCGAACCATAACAATCCCAATTTACCTGCAGAACAAATATGTTTTCAATATGGTGGGGCACCTCCGCATTTTAGACGTGTGGTGAGGCCACATAAAAAATGTCTACAAAAATAGACCGCAAAATATCTAGGCCAGCCTTTTGAAAAGTACTTAGTAAATGACAACCCAAGTGATTTCCCCAGCAAAGTCGTGAACAATTTTTTTTAAACAAAAACTTCAAATTTGACGAAGTTATGAATTTTTAGAAAAAGGTCTATTTTAGAGGTTTTTCCGGATTGTATCTGTAAAAAATGAACCGATCGGGTTTTTAATTCTCTACAAAAGTCCTATTGAGAGTAAGACGATTCCATCATTATTTTTCGAGGTATTTAAAAAAAAACAAAAATGTCATTCTTTTGCAGTTTTTATTGTTTAAAAAAAAAATTGTTCACGACTTTGCTGGGGAAATCACTTGGGTTTTCATTTACTAAGTATTTTCCAAAAGGAAATACATGAAACTTGTTATAATATTTAAGTGTAAAAACAGCCTCTTTTTTCGTTCTATTGGCGTAATCGAAGAGTTGTAGGAAAGGATAAGGCATAAAATTTCCACTATTTCCAACCTCCAAGCTCCTTGACATATAATAGGTCACCACCACTTTCTACAAGCATTGTAGCCGATGATCTTCGAAACGTGTGTCCTGTATAAAGGTTAGGGTTTTCTAAATTCAAGAACTTAACCACCTTTTTCGGGACATTGCCAATAGTATGCAGACCAACAACTTGCTTTACACATTTGCCGTGTCTATACCCAATAAAAAAATCGTCGAATCTCCAAATTCGGTGAGCGAATATCAACATAATTTTTATATAAGCATAAGCATTGAAGGGAAGGCCTTCTTTCGGAATAACGAATGTCCTACTCTTTTTGGTTTTTGTAGTTTCCAATGTCGCCATAACGTTTTTGGAAGTTTCTTCAAAATCATCTATTCTATTGTCAACGAAACCAATTTATTGCGCCTACAGGCACCAAATATTCCCAGCATTAATACAACCTGAAACAGAATACATAAGTACATATAGAAACATACGTGTAGAATCAAAACCTAAGAAATATATCCACTAAAATTACATAAGCATTGCAATCTCGTAAGTAGAGACTTCTAACCTTTTCCAGCAGCCAATTATGATCGTCAGCTTCCAATAAAAACTTTGTTCCATCCTCTTCTGTTAATACTTTTGTAATTTTCGGTTTATAACCATCTTATTTGCTTCTCAAAAACATGAATAATTTGCAAAATCTGGAAATATAACAGATTACAGTATCGCAAAACAAACATAAGAATATTAAAAACTAATCTTGTAATATCAATATTTTCATGGACTTTTAAAGTCAATTTCAACATTGATATCTTGGACTACATCGATGAAGGGGAGTAAGCATTCGATTTTTCCTTCACATATGCAAGCATTACGTCGTCGTTGACCACATTAACTTTTTTTATTCGACGCCACTCGAGAAAATCGTCGTACTCCTTCTGATATCTATACTTGTTTTTTTTCTGGCAATAAGCCTGCATTTGCTGCAGATGCTGCTTGTAATATTTCCGGCGGAACATCGAGAAAACTCTCCATTCTATTAAGTGAATTTGAGTTTGAATTTCGAGTTCAACGCGACGCTTCTTTGTGCTAGACCGCCTGGTAACTTGATGTTTTTATTTCTCTGGCATGTCCATATTATTATTTGTGAAAATAGCTTTTTAAATGAAATGATAAATGAAACGAATGAGACTGGTGTAACGAAAACCGTTGAACGACACACGGCCGATAAATAACGTCCTCAGGGATTTAAGTCCGGCGATTTTGGAGGCCATAAACCTGGACCAATAATGCGATCGTCATAAAATTTTCTTAACTCCAGTGCTGTGTTAGCTGTGTGTACTGTAGACCATTTTGTTGAAAATAGGTAGCCATTGTGCAATTCGATACCACGTAACTGATTTAAAAATGGCTGAAAAATGTTTTGTCTGTACAGCCAGCTGTAACATTATCTTCACGAGATATGGCTGCCCAAAATTCTATTTTAACAGGATGTAAAGTCGTTTCCTGTTGATTCTCCGCAGACCACGTACGATAATTTTGTAAATTTATGTATGTATCCACTAAGATGAAACCATGCCTTAGCGGTAAAAAAAAGTTATATCCAAAAGACTGTCATTGTTGTTAAGTAAACCAGTTACAAAAGCTCACTCTTTTTTCATTATCTAATGGCAATAATTCTTGTACCATGGTAACTTTATAAGGATGTAAATGTAACTTTCTTACAGCTCGCAGTGTACTGAACGATAAACATTTCTACTTATAATAATTGTTATTTTTAAGTACCGGTATTTAACATTTTATAAATATTTACCCGCCTGAGCTGAAAGTTGTCCTAAAGGTTTAGTGGAGCTTGCTGTTAAACGCTCTTTAACATCCTCCAATTTATCTTCAGTTAAAACTGACTTTCTTCTATGTAACTTCCCTTTACAAACACTGCCAGTATTTCTGAATCGTGTCGCCAAACATCGAACATGCTGAGCAAAAATATTATAATCTGCGGCTCATGATTTGAAAACCCTTCCTCCTGGAATTGCAAAAAACATAAATGGATTGAATAATTTCATCCATTTGCATCTCGTTGACCATTCCGAAAGCAAGCCTCTACAATAAAATCGTCTTCTAACGAAAAGACCATTTTCTAATCAAAAACAGTTCATGTACTTTATATGGAAGAAACCATCAGTATTTGCTTCCTTACTACAAAACTAACAGTTAACAGACAATTATCGTTGAAACACATACGGGAAGCACTGAATTGACAGATCATGCCCGTCGGAAATCTAAGAAAACGGAAAGTAATTTTGATCAAACGGAAGTAAATTTTAATATCTTTAGTAACATTTACGTCAGCTTCAATTATTCTGGAACGCTCGATACTATACTATGTAAGAGCAAGTATTAATATGTTTTAATTTGTATCATGGGTAAATAGAAACATGCATGGTGATAGATAGAGTGAGATAGATATATGTACATGGCAAATGACAACTTTAAACAAAAAGCCTCTCTTTAATAATAAATAACTCATCTTTCCCATTTGAATTTGGCGGCATTTAAAGAGGTCAAACGATGCAGCTTCAGTCGCCTCCCTTTTTGTATAAGATGAGGAAAAATAGTTGCTTGCGGCGTTGTCAATTCTTCGCGAAAACTGTTAAGCTTAGATACATGTCCCAATGAACTTTTCTCACCCTCAGGAACCTAACGTCTTGAACTATTGGATTTTTACATATGGTTTTTGTTACAGGGCCCTTGGTATAACTCTCCTTGTGTTCAGACTAGCAATATGTTTACCTCCAGAACTCTCCAGAAGCAAATGCTTCGATGCCCAAGTAAAACTGCTGGACACCAAGTGGACCCTCTACCAAAACCTGATACGTATCAAGTTACACAAGTGTATGATAACGAAAATCACAAATTACATGGACTGCATTAGCAAGAAATCGGTAAGGAACGAAGAAACATTCACCTACTACGACACATCGAGGAGTTGTATAGATCTAGCTAGAGAAGAGTCTCCTAAGTCGGTTACTACAGAATATCCTTGTCTCAACGGCAATATTAGAAAAGTAACAGAGACGAACCACGCGACCCACGCTACGGGAGAAGTTAACCTCCAAACCGACAAACTGTTTTTACCGTCGGGGTTTGCCTGCAAGTACAGCCTAGGATTTTGTTACGACTTCAACCTTGGAGGTTACGTGTGGGAGACAAGTATACCAGATGATATTTTGTGCAACAATCTTATACGATTGGACAGAGATGGCATGACGGTGATGAAGTTTTCGCTAGACAGTGAGTATATAGTTTTTGAAGAAGAAACCAAAGCTCTCGCTGTGGAATTAATCGAAGAGCTAGATCTATGCGGAGGAAAGGTGTGGACCGATAAAAAAGGGTTCTTCGTCACCAACGACACTTTCTTCAAACCAGAATCGAGACTCCATCAGGTTTATGTAGAAGCTGATATGCCGCAGAAACAACGCGTTTACGAAGGGCTGGTGGAAGACTGCGAGCAGAATGGGGGCGTCGCTGCGTCCTTCTACTACTACACCACCATTGTCCTGTTGGCTTACGTACTCTTGCACTTCTCTTTTTCAGTTTACGGCCACTTGACCAATTGCAGGACGTTCAGAAGAGAGAGGGGCGAGACCTGCAAATGGCTGTTTCAGAGCTGGATCAACAGGTCGTTTATGAACAAATCGACAGTAACCGAAACAAAGCTGCTGTCGGACATAGAGATGGCCAACGTTAGTCGAGAGTCGTGTCCTTCGTATTACCAGTTACGCCTGCCTAATAGAGATATTAAATAATAATATAATATTGCATGGAAATGCGTAAAACGCCAGTTTCTTCTATTTTTTGATTTTTATTTTGCTACACTAGAAGTTTAAAAAATAAAGCAAATAGTCAGGGAATCAGCGATTGTTTTTTACAAACTTATTTTTAAAATCTTAGAATAGGAAGTACTTATGCAGTGTGTCCCCGGTTATGCACTCTTATAAACTTTTTTACTGAGGATTTTTCGGGGAAAAGTTATTGTTGATAAAAAGTTTTCCCTATGTCGGGGGAGCCATGGGCAGTAAACAAATATGTGATAAAACATACAGGGCGTCCAAAACATTTCAAAATTTTTCTTAAGCAGGGTCTTTAATTTTTGTTTTCGATAATTTAACAAAGTTTTTCCAGAACTCAGGAATGCTTAAATAAGTGGTTTAGTCAAAAAAGAAGAATAATCACATTTTGCAAATAAGAAGACGCGATTTTTAACTCTTACTTGACAGATATTATAAAAAACAAGTAAACTAGAATTAACAACAACAACAACGACGAAACGAGTCCTGTTCAACTTGTAAGCCTCCAAGTAATATACATTTTTTAAATCTTTTTGTAAACCGCTTGTACGCAGAAGAGATCATTTCTTCGTTTATGATGACAACAGCTTCTGAATTTTTTACTTAAGGGCGCCATATTCTTTAAATAGTGTTTTCGACAAAGACAAATAATTTAAAACATTTAATAACTGAATAATGTAAAGCTTATCAAATAATAGGAATGTTATGTCATGCCATCTGGGTATTTTCAAAGACGCCGCAGTAAAACGAATAAACAGGTGCAAAAAACGAGCAAACCATCAAAATTTTAGGTTCTGAAATCTACAAAAATACTAACTTTTTTATATACAACTCCGCATGTAAATATTCTTATAACATTCACTTGCTTAGTCCTACGTATAAAATTGTTTACTTTTATTTATAAGTACGTGAAAATATTTCTTAAAATGTGGGGTTAGGTTAACTGCAAACGCATGTTTTACAAACGCTTTTTTTAGTTATTATTTTATTTGAGTAAATTTAAATAGTAACAATGAATAAACAGAACATCAAGGATTTTATTTTTGTGCTTACTTTTGTTCTACACGTTTTACTTTTCAAGATTTCAGTACCTACCTAAAAACGCCAGAAATTTTACTATTTCTCGGCCAGGGATATGGCCACCTTAAGTAAATCAATATTATCGTTAAAATCGTTCGAATACAGTTTTAGCTTTAGGTAGCCCCATAAGAAATAATCTAATGGGGACATGTCGGGTGCGCGAGCAGGCCAAGATATTGATCCATAGCGCCCGATCCACTTGTTCGGGAAGTAAACATCACGCCATTTTCTCACTAGAAGTGTGTGATGTGTAGGGCATCCGTCTTGTTGAAATATCAGTTTTCTTCTGTACTCTAAATTTTCGATATCTAGTTCTGCGAAAATAAAACTATTGAGAATTTCCAAATACGAATTTTGATTAAGATTTTCTTCCAACAAGTAAGGACCAATTATTTTATGGGACATTATGCCACACCAGACATTTAAGTACTTTTTTAAATTTTTGACTAAGTATTTGTTGTTATCAATAGAAAATTTGGATTATCTTTAGACTAGTCTTTACAATAATTTTGAGAGCCATTACTTGTGAATGTTGATTCATCTGTAAATAAAATATTGTCATAAAAGAATATGTTTTCAATCAGTTTCTCGCCCATAGTTAAACAAAAGTCCAAAGAACGACCATCAACTCCATCAAGCAATTTATGATTAAACACCAAATCTCATCCGTCAAGTGACGGAATCTTTAGTTCGTCGATGTGGGGCTTGCAGTCGAGCCGAGATTGACATTTATAGTCTTAAGATTTGTTAATTTGGTTAATAAAGCTTAACTAATGTTTAAACTTTAAATACAAATAATAATTAATAATCATCACTTTTATTTATCAGGCTACTTGACTAGAATATGAAATGATATTTTTTAAAATGCTTCTAACCCTTTCGGGAGAGACAGTCAGGTGTAAGGTCGGCTGGGGCTGCCCCCAGGGAGGCGTACTGTCTCCCTTGTTATGGGGATTAGTGGTGGACGGCGCACTGGAGGGCCTTAATCGAAAGGGATTTTATACACAAGGCTATACGGACGACTTAGTCGTTCTCATAGTCGGGAAACATAATATTATCGTTTCAGAACTCATGAAAGAGGCTTTGAAATGGATAGATGACTGGTGTAAGGGGCAGGCACTGTCAGTGAACCCTGGCAAAACGGTCGTAGTACCCTTCACCAGGAGAAGGAATTTAATTGGACTCTCTGAACCTATAATAGGGGTATAATAGGGGACAGGAGCATTCTACTTTTCAGGGAAGTAAAATATCTAGGAGTGATACTGGATAATAAGCTTACGTGGAATACGCACTTGGAAAAAGTGGTGAGTAAGGCGAAGCAGACATTGTGTGTATGCCGTCGCCTTATTGGGAGCACCTGGGGACTGAAACCAAAGATGTCATACTGGTTGTATACGTCGATAGTAAGACCTAGGATTCTTTACGGCGCTGTGGTATGGTGGCAAAAAACACAACAGACCACAGCGAGGGAAAAACTGAATAGAATTCAGAGATTGGCCTGTTTAGGTATAACGGGGGCGATGGCATCGACCCCGACAGCTGCACTAGAAGTCATGCTAAATCTGCCACCGCTGCATATAGTGGTGGAAAGAGAAGCGCGGCTAGCAGCATATCGACTCAGGAATAACAATGACTGGAGGGGTGGTTCCCACTCCAGGATCATAGACACATCTATGTCGGAACCAACTCTTGGGATGGTATCCGACAAGATGGTCCCAAGGTTTCACTTCCACAAGCCATTTGAGACTCGAATAGAGGATCAAAGCAAGTGGGAGGAAAGGTTTAATACCCTGGAAAGGTGGAGCCTAGTATGGTTTACAGATGGCTCCAAAATGACCAGAGGGACGGGTGCAGGAATATATGGACTCAGACCCAGATGGAGTGCAAGCTACAGTCTGGGGGAGTTCCCTACTGTATTCCAAGCAGAAATCTTCGCGATAATGGCGTGTCTGGCAGAGAATGTACGTAGAGGTTATAGACGTAAACTCATATATATATTCTCTGATAGTCAAGCTGCAATTAAAGCTTTAGCCGCACACAAGGTAAGTTCAAAACTGGTGTGGGACTGTTTACAAATGCTAACTGAACTGGCCACCAACAATACAGTCAGACTGTGTTGGGTGCCAGGGCACAAAGGCATTTGTGGAAATGAGAAAGCGGATGAACTTGCGAGGAAGGGATCCGAAACAGTGTTCATTGGCCCGGAGCCCTTCTGTGGCACATCTCCCAGTGTGGTCAGGCGGGCTATGGGCAAATGGACAGAGACAGAACATAGGAAATACTGGACTTCAAGGCCAGGACATAGCCATTCCAAGGAGCTTATGGAGTATCCTTCGAATGGAAGAGCGATTGAGTTACTGAGCTTGAATAGAATCCGGCTCAGGAGAGTGACAGGACTCATAACGGGACACTGTCACTTTAAGAAACATCTACATAGACTAAAGCTTGTAGACAGTCCGGTCTGCCGAGGATGTGAATCGGCGGATGAAACTTCTCTGCATATCCTGGGCGAGTGCCCGGGATTTGCACGTAGCAGAATGGCGCTCCTTGGGAGACCCTATTTGGAACCCAAGGAGCTGAGAGAAGTGTCAGCAAGGAAGCTTTTGGACTTTGTAAAAAGGACAAATCTACTTGCTGAATAGGACTAGTAGTGGGACGCACAATAGGCCTAATCAGGCCGCAGTGTTATGGGACTTATTAGGACCAACCACTAGAAGTAGAAGAAGAAGAAGAAGAACCTCTAAATAAAACCGAATCGGATCTATATTCATATAAGGAAAAATGTTTGAAATTAACACAGCTATCATCTGTCAAAATTTGTCATAGAGCTTGTAGAACACCCTGTATAGTCATATTCGGCCTGGCGATGTCAACTATGACAAGCTTATTGCGGGTTGCATGTATGTGATGTTACACTAAATCTCTTATTGACACTCTCTCCATAGCCACTGTATTACTAATTGGATTAATTGTATCTCTGTCTAGTAAATTTTTACACAAGACTTTTCCATCTCTCCGTACGACGATAACACAGCCTCACAAAAAAAAGTGGGAGGTCCGAAAGACAAGACCAATATATATGTTTTTGGGTTCGCTGAATCGAATCCTGTGTCCGTTTGATCCGATTAGTTCTGGTTGACGGTCAGTTCAAGGCAAATGTAGAGAATCAATTATCAACAAAGTAAACCTGCATATCTATACGTTTTTGGGGTCGGTGAATCCGAATCCGGTGTCCGTCAGTTCAAAGTCAAATGTAGGGAATCAATTGCCAGCAATGTAAATAAATCAATGTATCTATACGTTTTGGGGGTCGCTGATCCGATTTCAGAGTTCGTTTGACCCGATTAGCTCTGGCTGAAGGCCAGTTCAAGGTCAAAAGTAAATAATCAATTGTTAACAAAGTAAACCTACTTATCTACACGTTTTTGAGGTCATTGAATCCGAATCCGGTGCCCATCTGACCAGATCAGATCTGGGTTAAAGTCAGTTCAAAGTCAAATGTAGGAAATCAATTGCCAGCAATGTAAACCAATGTATCTATACGTTTTTGGGGTCACTGAATCCGAATTCAGGGTCCGTTTGACCCGATTAGCTCTGAATGAAGGTCAGTTCAAGGTCAAATGTAAAGAATCAATTGCCATCAAAGTAAATCTACTTTCCTATACGTTTTTTGGATCAGTGAATACATTCAAATAAAACGGCTTTCAAATGACACAATGACAGCACAACAATGATGGCTCCTTTCAAACAACACAATTTTTGTTTAATATCCAAGGCCTACTATTTCTATGTTAGCTTCTTTTAGTTCATTCCGACTACAGACTATTTTCGTTATTTTTGCCGATTGTTTTAAAACGGCTGCTCCAACAAAGAAATGTGACATAACATTTTTTGGTTTGTAATTTGTCAAATTGTATTAAAAAATACGGTGTTGCTATTAAAAAAATATATTGTTTTAGTAGCTACTGAAGAAATCTGGCAACACTGGAACGCATTATTTGTAAATTTTTCTTAGTCATGTTATTTCCTACAACTTTGCGTTTGAAAATACTAGTCAATCATTTCAAATAAAAAAGTTGGCCTGTCAGGTTTAAAAAAAATTACACTTTGTGAAAAAACAAATTGATTTGAAGTTTTTTGCTCAGAAATCGTTAATTTTACGAAAACGTTACAACCTTTTTTGTTTGGAATGAATCGGGTTATCTGAAAAAGAAAAAAAGTTACGTATGAAACAAGTCTTAGGGGTAGCTTTTGCTACCCCTTACAACCACAGGGGAAAATGAACAAATTATTTACTGAGTGCCTTCTCGATAGCAAAAAACGTCTACTTAATTTCTGTCACTTTCTTGGCATTTCAGAAAAAAATTAAAAACTGTTTTTTTGGGACCCTGTTGTATCTTCACAGGAGATGTTCAAATTAGATTTTTTATATGAAAGACCCACCTCATATTTCAACGAGCACTAATTTATTTACACCCTGTACTATATATTCCTACATATAACTTCCCATAAGATTTTATAATTTATTAAAATAATATGAAAATACTAAAGACTGAGACAAATTAAACAAATAATTAGAAAATTTTCTCACAAGAATGTGATTAATTCGTTCAACATTTGTTCTTATCTGTACGGATGTGATACGTCAGTAAAAATTATGCATTTTCTATTAAGCGATTTGCGGTAACCAGACAGATAATATAATTAAATATAACATATTTAAAATGCATGGATAGTATAAAATTCATGTGTGTATGCAACACTTGCTGGTATTAAAAGATGGGTCATTCGGCGCTTTTTACCAATGGGTAAGTTTAAACTAAATGATTATTAATAAGCAGGCATTTAAACTGGGTTTTAGAATAAGTTTCTACAGAGTCAACGTGCTGTCTCTAATACCTATTTTATGTGCTGCTCACTTACCATTTTTTTATTGCCACACTTGCATCACTAACACTGATTCGTTGCTGTCATTGTCTATGTAATACCATGTATATTTTTAACGAGTGTTGAACACCCACTTTTTAACTTGGCCATGACCAACTATTGTTCTCAAAAAAATCAAAGTAAATAAATAAAGCTCTTATGGATAAATCGGAAACTTCCTTTAAAAATATTATGTGCGCTATTGGATTCTACGCGAAAAAATCTAAATATCTTATTCATTCATGTGTCCAGGTAAAAGGCTCTATTTATTCGTTGTGTCCACTAGGGATTAAAAACGCATTAAAAGCTAGGTTAATGACCGTAAGTGTAAGTCAAGATTCACTCCCGATAAACCCTTGTGGGTCAGCGGTCAGTAGCGGTCCCAAGGTTTAAATTGAAAAAATTTTATTTTTCTGCGTAAATATGCATTTTAAAATTTTTCCAATAGCGATTAGTATTTTGCTTATTTATCCTTTCTTCCCTTAAAATTAATATTATGACTGCCCTGTATAATTAATTTGTAACGTTAAAGAAATTATTTTTTACCGCTGTTGTTGTCGGTTACAGACTATAAATTTATGCAGTTCTAAAAAATTTAATTTTTATGCAATTCGTCGAAACACTACACTAAAGCTTTACATAGATGAAATAAATTTAAATTAGATCCTCCTGTGTAACGAGTGATTTGGTTGAACATTTAAATCTACAACAATCCTCCATATTTTTAATTAGAGACCAGTCAACAGAGCTAATTTAATCTTTTAAATGACTTGTCATATCGAATGTTATTTTTAAAACTGCGAAACTATGAACGTTTTTTATTGAAGTAAATGAAGAAAAGATTAAACTGGATTGAGCCCGATTGCACCCACCCAGTCTACAATATCATGTGTTATTATTTTTTCACTGAACCAAAAATGTGCCTAAATACAACAAAAAACTTCATTAAGACAATAAATTTCATTATAGATTTTCAGCCGATGAAGAAATTCATTGTTACAATGAAGAGTGCTTCACTGACTCGATGAAAGTAACCTTCTTTCGTTAATGAACAAAATTTCTGAAGCTAGTGAAGATTTTCATTATTCTAATGGAAGTGATTCTTTGTTTCAATGATTCCCAATTCTTCAATTTAAAGAATTCCTGCATCAAGCTAATGAAATGTATTCTCTGTATTAATGAACTTAATTCTTCAAATAAAAGAATGCGTTTTTCGATCTAATGAAAAGAATCATTGAGACAATGAACTTATTTTTTCAAATAAAAGAATGCGTTTTTTGATCTAATGAAAAGGTTCATTGAGACAATGAAAAGGTTCATTGAAACAATGAACTTAATTCTTCAAATAAAAGAATGCGTCTTTCGATCTAATGAAAAGAATCATTGATACAATGAATGTATTCTTTGTATTAATGTATTGGGTTTTATTCAGTCAATGAACCTATTCATACTCATAATGAATTTGAGCTTTATGTTTTTAAATTTTAGTAACAAATAATAAGGTAAAAAATAACTAAAAATTAACTTTCGAATTTTTTATTCGCTAGTATTTAAATAGCTACATAAGATTTGTATCTTTGGGTATTTACAAGTAGTCTTAATTTTGTAAACATGAAATTCTAGAAAGCTAAAGAACATTTCACTCTCGAGAGGGAATTCTAAGTCGAAAAGATATATCAATTTGAAGCAAATATCGAGAGCCCGGATAATATTAGTAAATTTGAAACGAATCTCATCAAAATGTATGAAAATTTCATCGATTTCGAAAATGTTTTTACCAATACCGTATATTGATGGTTGAAGTGATTGCTTGGTTCGCTTGAGATGATTGATTCTATCTTCGACTTCAATCAGATTATCGCCGACAAAAATCACAGACTCCTGTGAATCTTTGCTGGTGAATTTGGTGGTCGTTTTTTTCCCCGTTACATCCTTTTTGATAATTTTTGTCGTTGGAACTAAGTAGCCATGTAATGCCCAAATACCAGCAGCATGTCGTCCGTCTAGAAAGGCAATATAGAAATAGTAATTATTGTTTAAAGCGCTTTAGTACCTACATGTAAAATTAGTAATATAAGATTACGTACATAAAAATAAAGACAGCTCTAATGTAGGAAAATGATTATTACTTATTAGACTAGCTGATGTAATTTGACTTACTCTCTGAGATTGTGGCGTCTTGAAATCCATATCAATCTAAAACAAAAGTCAATTCATCACATCACATCTACAACATCTACAACTTCAACAATTCTTACCAGCCTATATCCAGCCGGGGTTTTGTAGAAGGGCCATTTCGCAATAATATCAAAAGTTGCTTTTGAGTTCTTAATGAAGTGCTGTCGATATCCCCAACATGCTTTCCAAACAGTATCAAATTGTTCTGCTGTAAGATTGTCAATGTAACCTTCGGTTCTTAAATATTTGTATAATAGGTATTCTGTCTTTAAGGATTGAAATGGCTCTCTACAATTTGACAATAGAGTACAAAATTCATTGAAGAGGTGTGGTTCATTTTTTTCGAAGTAAAACCTGGCAAAAGCCATGAACGTATTTAATAACGGCTCCAATAGATATTTGTTAACATGTTCTTGAATTGTAATTACATCTTTCCTAGAAAAGTTGTCACTGTTATGAAGAAAGAGTAAAAACGTTGAAGCAGAGTGAGTCATTCCTTTCCGAAAAGTATTAAATTGCAATTCTTCGGGTTTGGATTGCATGAGTATGGGTCTATCTGTAAAGTCAGCAGAGTCTACTTCAACTTGGTCATTTGGGAATGACTTAACTGTTGATATATTTATTAAATTTTGTGCTTCACTAAAACTACTGTTGTTTGAACATGATTCTTCCGAATAATCATCTCTATTAGTAGAATGAATCCGATTGACATGTCTTTTAAATGAAGCAAAATTTTGAAAGCTTTGGACTGCATTCTAGGCATCGGAATGTACAACTGGAATTTAGATTATGAAAACGTTTGAAATGGATTGTTAATCTCGGAAAGTTTGGAAAGCTATCTTTACAAATAAAGCATAACATACTTGCTGTTTCAGGATTATTACCGCTATACCTATAGGTGCCTTATTTCAACTTCAAAATGGATAATTCGAAAATTTCTAGTTTATAATTATATATGTTGGTATAGTTCAACGGAATAGGTATATAGGTGCTACAAACGAAACATTTTAACTCCAAGTACCTACATATCATAATAATAAATTTATCTCTTACCTGTGTCCCTGTGTGCCCTCCTAATTTTTTTTTAAACACTCACAATATAGTCGCAATTTGCATACGGGTATACCCCTAAGCTGACAAGACGAAGATTGAGTGAAAACCGCGCGAGTAGAGTACATATTGCTATTTTTAAATTTTGGCCGTTGTAGATTTGCGAGTGGGGCTGTTATTAATGAACAAATTCATTGCATTGATAACTTGTTGGCTTTGTTATAATGTAAAACTTCATGACTTATTTTTTCTTAGAAGTAATAATTGAAGATATGCATAATACTAATGAACCGTTTTCATTATTATTATGTAATATGAAAATACTTCATTGAAGAGGACTTCATTGTGCCAAAGAATACACTTTCATAATAGCAATGAACGAGTTTATCAGTCCATAAACAATTGTTGATTGAGAAGATGAAAATAATCATTAAGCCAATGAAGAAGACTTCAGTGTGCCAAAGAATACACTTTCATAATATCAGTGAACGAGTTCATTAATCCATAAGCAATTATTTATCGAGACGATGCAAATTTTCATTAAGCCAATGAAAATAAGTTAATAAAGACCGTTCATTAATACTATGAACAATATTTTTTTCAGTGTTTGTCTGGAGATATTTCGTGAACCAATTCCACCAATTAATAGAAAATTTCAGCAACTATGTTTTGTAAAAAGAGAATATTAAAAAAAGATTAATTTTGCACTTACTGGTAGAGAGGTTATGAAAAATCCTGACGTGATGGGGTTAAATAGATCCCAGATTTGGATTCAGTGAGCTAGAAAACATATAGTAGACGTAGTCCGACCCCAGCAGTACTTTTTGGAACTGTGTCATTTATGCCGTCTCTAGTAAAACACGCTTTATCAGACTACATGGCCAGCGAAATGAAATCATTTTGTGCATATTGTAGAAGTAACCAGCGACAAAATTCTAATCGCTCAGGAGTATTTCCAGCATGTAACGTTTGTACAGGCTGGTCCATTTTCGGTGGGATTTCAGGATATCTCAGAAACTACGAAAGATATGATAAATCTGACACCACGTTCTCGAGCTCGATTTTCATGGCAAATTCGACTGTCAAATCAGAAATTTGCTATCTTCATTTGTTTCTGAGTTACAGGGCGTTTCTCGTTATTGTGACACTTTTGAACATGTCTGTATCTCAGCTGTTAAATAAGTTAGAGTTAAAATGAAAACTGCTCAAGACTAATTCTTTGGCGTAGAATTGAATGCCGGTATTAGATTTTTATTAGGTCTTAAGATTCCGGAGTTATGACCCAAAGTTATAGTTTTTTTAATGGAAATCGTAGCTGGTCATGACCTAAAAAAATGGATATTTTTTTTTGCTTTTCAGCTATATATCACATGCTATAGTTATTTTTCCAAACACAGAAGATACGGGGTGTTTTATATATAAATTCGATCCTTTTTTACATTTCAATTTGGCTGGCTATAAAAATACAGTTGAACTCGCTTATAACGAGCAGGGGATATAACGAGCACTTGGTTATAACGAGCAAATTGAAAAGTCCCTTCCGAATTCCCTATGTAACACGTGTATTTTTGTTCGGCTATAACGAACTCGTATATAACGACGGCTTGGCTATTACGAGCTTTGATTTTGGTCCCGCGCAACAGTGATCTCGGCT